AAGAAATATCCTGTTGCCTTATTGGCATCGCTTGCACATTCAAAGAAGTGTAGGAAGCAAATGATTGCTGCCGGTGCTTGTCTACATTTGCAGAAACTCGTCGACTTGGAAGTAGAGGGCTCTAAGAAGCTTTTGGAAAGCCTCGGTCGGGGTAAAATTTGGGGTGTTTTTGCCAGATCTTGACGATAGGAGACATGACAAATGCTGAATTTCGGAGTATAGAGGTACACGAAGATGATTCACTGTTCTGTATGTACAATAGTTGTGATTACTTTTAGTTTTGGCTTTTGATTTTCCTTTGTTTTCTTTTTCATATCTTGTTTATAATTGCTGTTGGTTTATGGTAGAAAAATTAAATTAGCTTCATTGTATCTAGTTGTGGTGACCTAACTGGATAGGCATCCAAGGCTTTGTTTTCTCAACAAAAATGCCAATGGTTGATGTTGCTGCCTGGTGTGAGTTCATACTTGTGTTGCCAACATTTACCTGTTTCATTGACTTCACAATCTAGCCAACCATAGTTTGTAAAGATTGAGCCTTATTTAGGGTAGCGATTTCCGCCCAAGGAGAAAACGGGAGTGCGAAAATCACTAACCGCTATTTGACTTAAGAAGGCTGATTCCACATTTATCATTTTCTTGCTGTTATTTTGTGAAGTAGTTGATACAGGAATTGACAGTTTACCACACTCTGTATAATTTACGATCGATTCAAAGCAAGATTTTTGAAATTTTAGATTGGTTTTTAATTTCAATTTAATTATTTATTAGAGTGGCTAATTCCAAATTTCATTTGCTGATCCAATTTATGCACATGGGTTCAATTTTCTCAAATTTCTGAGTATTGGTCAATGCATAAAAAAGAAGAAATTTGCAGTTAGGTCACTGCTTACCTAATCACTGATTAATTCGATGATAATTTGGACTTGGAGGACAATTAACAAGGGTGGGGCCAGAACCATGTTCTAGAGTATTTGCATTACTGTCTCTAATATGTTCCTCCCCTGCAATGCCAATTCTTGTAATTTGGTATGCCTTTTGGCCACCACCACCTTATCATCTTCTTCTGCATTCATCTCTGGTCATTTCAAGTGTCAATCTTTTTGGCTCTTGGGTCCATGTTATCTTTCTGGCGTGATAAGGAGATATACAACCGGGGATAGCTAAGAATGTCTCTCCAAGTTGATTTTGTAATTGAATAGCGTTCATCGGATTGCCATACAAGTTATTAGAGGTACAACTCGGGCAGATTGGACGGGTTGGATGGTCAACCCAACCCTAAACTAACGTTCACAATTCCGGTTTGGGGGTTCATGCGGGTTTATCCGGGTTTCAATTTGGGTTTGTTGCTGCAATCACGTAATTTTCAGCTAATTAGATGGTTTAACAGATGTAAATTGTGATGATAGAGTGGAGTTTTGTGGTCAAGAAGCATATGGTTTTGTTGGTGGAGCATGTGGTTTTGTTCTATCGGTCGCCCAAATTTGCACTGTTGTGTTGGCGAATCTCCAAAACATATTATTTGCCATATATATTAATACACACACATATATACAGAGACTCGGAATGAACTAATTTGGAAAGAAAATGTCTTATCATTCTGTCTCTCTCACTTAACTTTTGCTCTGTTGGATTGCTGCTCGTTGGAAATGAAATAAGACAGGTAGCTAGCTATTTATGAGTTCGATGAGCCTCAGGTATAGGTGGGGGTGGCCCATCTTCATATTCTTTATCTTGTTATAAAAAGATGTAATATTCTCGCTTATTCCAAAACATGATCCTTCCAAATGGTTTGCACGAGTAATTCGACACAGAGAGTAATTAGAACTCGAGTGTTAAAGGGTGTGAATACTGATGTGACTAATTGACTTAACTCATGTAAGCTCGGTGTGGTTTTTTAGTTGAAAGCGGAAGCTCTCTGTATTTTGAATTTTTGAGCGTGTAAAAATTGTAATAGATATGGTGTGATTAAAGAGGGGTACCAACTAAATAAGAAAGAGCTAGCTAGTTCCTAGGATTTATATATGGAAGAATATATATGAATGAATAATATGGCTGAATGCTTTTCTGTATATTGAACAGAGGCTACGTAGTCCATATATATACAAATACAAATACAAGTGGTAAAGTCAAATCCTGATTCTAATCCCTATAAAGCCGTGATCCGCTCAATATATTCTTAATACAACTAGCAATTGCTGCGCTGAAAGATAAGGGACCATATTAATATGCTTTGTCAATTTAATGGAGTTTGGGTTGCGGTCTTTCGGAACCTGTCAATAGATGCAGCAGTGCGGCCCATGTGTATCTCTCTTTGCATTTGGTTTTTATTTTTTATTTTATTTTTATTTTTTTGACGGCGGAAGAATGGTTGAAGAGGAAAAAATGGTTGCGGATAGTTGGTGATGAAGGGCTGTAAGAAAGAAAAAAAAAATGACTAAGGCTAGTTTGGTCAATTTTTAGATTCAATTTATAAATTACGTGATTTTTATTATCAATAGGAAATAATCACGTTAATCAACACTTAATTAATAATTTAATCATCAACGACCATGTTATATGATTTAAATGTGGAGACAATGTTAACTATTTAGATGTGTTAAATCGTTCAGATTAAAAGTTTGGTATCATTTTTAAAGTCTAGATAAATGACAATAAAATCTCTGAAATCAAATCTATCACTTAATAAAGTCTTTTATCATTTTGAATCCTAATTTCACTACACTCGCTTAAAGGACACCCTACCAATGATTTAGGATTAGTTTGAAATTGCTTATAAAAGAACCCAAATGTGCTTTCAAATCACCAAAAACGCTTCTAATAATGTTTGATGGGAAAAGGGAGAATTTCGTGGAAGAAGCATCTCTTGTATGCTTTCTTCATAGAGGACTTCAAGTGCTTTTCTAGAAGGCACTTGCATTTCTCTTAAAAATTTTGATGTACTCCAATTACTAGAAATGTTTCTAAGCATAAGTGCTTTTCAAAGAAATATTTTCAAACGAACTCTTATTGTCTGGCAATTCCTTCTATTTATCGCGAAGCTAATATGCAAGCTAATGATAGGTCATAAGCATGATCATACTCATGTATGGTTTACCAATCCGTCAAGGATCCTTCATGTAAGAAATTTTTTGTTCCTAGAGAGGGCAACCCCAAACTAACAAAACTTCCTGCTTTGCGAGGATGGGGATCCTAACATAAGAAAAAAAAATATATTATATATAGTCAATTCATACTTAGTGAATTCTATGGGGATCCCAATTATATATAGTCAATTAATCTTATTTATGGTTAAGAAATATAACTTATTCTTAAAAGCCAAATATAATTGGTTTACTCCATTGTTAATTTTAACATAAATACTCTATGAATTAAACTATAGGAAGAAGAGAACAGAACCTCACATATAAACTGTTTGCTAACAAAATAGCTCCCCAACCAATTTTTGATGCATCAGTTTGAAGAACTAGGTAGTCACTTTCTAACGGTAGCAATTGGCAAACTTTTATAAAGAAATTGGAGCCTGGTTTCTCTTCTCGTTCTAAAATTTGAACTCTAATTTCTTATGGCGATTTTCTAAATTCACTCCTCACATAAGAATTTCTGTTTAAATGGTTATGGAGTGGGTTATCTCTCTTACTTCTCTCATAATTTAATTCAAGATCGAGCTCCTAAATTTCTGCTCTCAATTGATGATTTTCTCTTTCTAAATCTTCTCTCAATTCTCTCTCTCTCTCTCTCTCTCTCCTCTAACTCTGTATTATGAATACTTCTTCTTGTGAGTAATCTTGATCTATGATCATTTTCATTTCTTCTACAGTTTTTTCTTGCTAAGGATCATGGCCTCACCCTAGCAAAAGGGATTAGTTACGCATATTCACAAGTAAAATCAACATAATTGTATTAAACTAGAAAAAGAATGAAAACACCTGAAAGTATAAGTTTTGAACTATCTAAACTTTAGCCAAAATCTTCTTCTCAAATCTTGCGTACGTAGAAGAGAGACCCTAGGTCTGCCAAAAGGCTTTTTTATACTACTCTAAATAAAATCCTCCTAGTAAAAGGTCTTAGAATCAGACTAGGAAACTAAAGAAATTGAAATAAAATAGGAAACATATATAATCCTAAATTAACTTGGTAAATTCGTCTAGAAATCTGCACAGTCACGTTTTGGACCCAAATCAGCTCTAAAACTGGCCCAAAATAGCTGGATTTGAAGCTTGAGCTATCCTGAACACTTCTTTAAGGCCACGAACCCATCTGAGGCCATATTGGGCTCCAGAAACACAATTTAAGCCTAAAAACGTCACTTTTTAGTAACGCGCACTGCTCCTTTATTTAATCGTCAAAAAATAACCGCTTGGTAGGAAAATCCCAAATTTTGACACGAATAATCCAAGAGACACATGAACGTCCTTTAATTTGAATCACTCCAAAATTTGTCTGTTTGATCATGTTTTGCTCCAGAAGAAGTCGAATGTCCTATATTGAAAATATAAAACAAAGTATCAAAATTCTACCAAAATAATTACCAAATTATACTAAGAATATGGTAAAATATATAATAGAATATTAACTCATCACTTAATTTTAACTCGCTTAAATAATAGTAAAATCGAGCACAAATATATATATTTATATATACATATATATATATATATATATATTTGGATCTACAATTCTTTTCTCAATCTTCCAAACGGTGCTTTAAATGTTTTTTTTTTTTTTTTTTTCATATGATATTGAAGAAAACTAAATGGTTCCCATGCTTGAAGAAGTTTCCTGAGTGCAGTGCACATAAAAAACCCATTGAATTACAATAAGTAAAGGATTATAGAGTTCACATAAGCAACAGAATTCAGATAAGAGAGATTCTCAGATTCATTTCATCAAACATGTAGTGTGCAAGTCCTCATATGCTCTCGAAATATTGAACAAAATTGAACTTGGTTATGAAAAAGAAAAACGAAACTCAGGAAAAATTCGGAAGAAGCAAAAAAAAAAAATTTGGACCATTTCTCGATTTATGCGTGTCATCCTTGCGCAGGGGCCATGCTAATCTTCTCTGTATCGTTCCAATTTTATCGGATGTCCCCGAAGGGACAAGTATGCTTGCAGGTGAATGCTATATAAAGGCTATTGAAAAAAGTCTTTTGCTCGATGTGGGATTAGTAGCTCGCCTCTATCCTAAGAACGGCACCCATGTTATTGTCGTTTATGTGCAATATGCCAATTAGATTCTGGGGTACCTAGTGGAATATGAACTTGTAGGACGACAATTACAGAGAACTTGTAGAACTATCGGAGTTAATACAGCCAAAAAGGAGGCGTTTCTAGCAGCTGTATGAATAGCATGGTCCTAGAAAATGCTTGGTGACCCTAGTTAGCAATGACATCATCAATGAATTTGACCTCTCCATAAGCTCCCCTAAACTTAGAAGCTAACAACCAAAAGTGAGTTCAACTGTTTATGCTTCTGAATTATGGAGTAGAGAATTCGAGTTTTGGTTCAAAGTGATGAACATTGCTTTTACCAACTGATCTAACTCACGAACTAAGTGCTTTTGGTAAACTCATGTTAGGGGAGTGGGTTCGATAACACGAGGGCTCAAATTAGAAATGTCTCGTTAAATTCTCGTCTTAGACCTCAGTTTGTATTGGGACGACTCTAGCCCAATATATTCTTAGATATCACAGTGCAACTTCCACAAAGGTCCACCACCTCCATCACACTCATTATTTTTACAACAAAAATAAGTAAAAAAAACTCTTTCTTCTTTTACTACAACAACTTAACGAGAGGATCAAAACCTAAATCTTTCCAGACTTGGCTGCAGAGCTGATGGTGAGCATGAGCAAGAAAACGACAGACAAGTAGCAGAGAACCACTGAATCAGTCCCTCTTTTGCAGAACTTGCCAAAGTGATCACAAATTGGTGCCCAGCCCGAGTGGCTATTCCCATATTGTCCCACGTACCCTATTGCAGTTGCAGCCGAGCATCCAGCCATCAACAAACACAGCATCACCTGCCAACCATTCCAAAATCATCATAAAGATATCATCATGTTGATCAGACAATGATGCTTTAGTCCGATACAGAGATTCGAACTTGAAACCTCCTTATAGGGAAAAAGGTGAAAATCCTACTAGGTCGATAGTTGGTATACAGTAATTTTATGCTTGTAAAAACCGAGCTGGCATTCCAAATTGTGTAGGGAAAAGATACTATGGTTTGAACAGAGAGATTCGAACTTGAGACATCTTTTACGAAACACGCAGAAACTCTGCTAGACTAATAATTATTTTGTATTAAGGAAAATAAAACTGAGCTGGCATACCAAATCGTGCAGGAACAAGATGAAGTAGTTGGCGGGATTCGAGCCATTGCGGTGGATAAGAAAAACGAGGAACAAGGAGAGCAAGCAGAAGGCACTCACAACAGCATTTGCATAAGCAAAGAACCTGCAAAAAAAAAACATAATATTATGGAAAATTAATTAAACAAAATGACTGAAAAATAATTAATTTTTTTTTTTGAGGGAATATAAAAATTGTTTTTATGATCTTTAATCTTACTTGAAGGTAGGTGAATAATAATAACGAGCATCAAATTCTATGCCAATAATCTGACTGGTCTGCTTGTTGGTGACCATCAACCAAGTTGCAGCCAATGTAGCAGCCACTGTGACAGTCCTCATGAAGATTTGGACTCCAAGAAAAATCTTTTGGGTTTTCAGAGGAGTTTTCAGAGGTGGGTTTTGCTGGAACTTGGATTCTGTGATTGCCATGGTGAAAATTTCTTGGGTTTTCAGAGGTGGGTTTCTGAGGAGGAAGAACAATTGCAGAAAACAAAGAACAGATAATAAGTGCTGAGGGGAAAGGGTAAGGGGAGATATTGAGAAGTGTGTGGAGTTAAGAAGAGCATTTATAGAAGAAGAAAATGGTGAGAAGATTCTTTACCTTTAGGACTCTTTTACTAATTCGTAATTAGATTGAGAAGAATTGAATTGAGGAAGAATTAGATTGAAGAGGAATTGAATTGAGGAGAAAACAGAATTAGATTCCTGTTAAAGTTGTTTACTAAACTAAACTGGAATCGAAATACAAATTATATTGGTTCCATATATATTGTTTATTAGTTTATTGGAATCGGAATTAAAATTAGCTTGATTACTAAATTGTCCTTGTTGAAAATGAATTATTTTTATGCTATAATTATTGAAAATTAAGCCTATCTATATAAAATTAAATTTATCTTTACAAACTTTATCTTTTCGAGGCAGATTGTCTGACCTCTTGTTTGGGTATCATTTTCATCTCCTCCTATTTTATGCGGTCACAATTAAATCACGTTAACATTTTATATTAATTTCTTTATAGAGATAATAAGACAAAAAGTAATAAAAATATAAAATATTAATATGGCTTAACCGTGATTGCACATATAAAAGGAGATAGAAAGGACATCCAAACAGAAAAACAGACAATCTGCCTCCTATCTTTTCTCCCTCCCATCCTCTCATCCCCATCTTTTCTTCACCGACTTCCAGAGCACTACCATAAAAGCAGATGCTGTAAACATAGAAGGGCCTAGGCCTAGTCCGAAGAGGGAAGAAGAGAAGTCAGAGTGAGGGGAACAAGTGAATCGAGAAGCATCGTGGTTCGATTTGCGAAGAGGGCGTTGGTGTTACTTGTCAACTCAAGTGCAAATTATGTATAATGGTTTCCATTTTATCTCATTTGCCAAATTTTGGCATGGATAATGTTGGACAATTACATGGTTTTTTCTTAATTTTAATGCCATGGTATTAAGAAATGGAAATTCGAATATAAGACTTCTAGTTAAAGAATAAACATTCTAATTATTTAAACTATAAGTTCATAGATTATTACATCGTTAAATTTAACTCATCACGATTCTAACTCAGACTTGTATCTTGAAATTAGGTTTGATATTTGCATAAGGTGTACTTCGTTTTTATTATTTTTTTGACAAATAACAAGATAATTATAATAAATTCATTTAAAATACATAAGGAGCGAAATCCGAATTTAAATACAAACAATAAAATATACTCATCTGACAAACTTGATTAAACTCAATTACCCTCGGATTGAGTGATGATGCTCCTAGAGCATTTGAGTGGTTCAGAAACGTTTGTCAGTTTTGGAAGAGAGAAGGTAACTCTTATTACTCTGTAGTCAAATTGGTTTAAACTTCATGAATCTTATGGCATTATTCGCATAATTTCTAACCGCTCGTAACAGAGAATTACAGCCATCTGTCTACCATCTTGACTTCATGTAAAAGGTTACTAATTTTTTAACGTAGTGCTGAGCTAAACACCAAATAAGTGACCTGTAATTCAGGATCCCATTGAATTCCCAAGCCAATGTTGAATTGGATTGGCTTTTTTTTCTCCTTCTTCCACTTTTGGTTTCACACTTACTACCAACTAAGAAAGTAGATTGAGAAAGGTTTTCTTACTAGTAAGATGTTTATGTTGTTAAATTGTAAATTTAAATTATTAGCCATGTTGATCTTCACTCGTACATGTAATTTATATTCAAAGTCTAACAATGTAAATTTGTCCGATAAGTTTAACAAAAACAATCTCAATCCATATTTACATACCAATTGAAAAGTTTACCTTTTGTTCAAGGCATTTACTCCATATGTAGAACTTTGAGCTTTGAACCCATAACATGTCTATCACTTTTTTTCCAGTCATTCAGTAAAAAGTTACAAACCCTCTACTGGAAAACTGTACAGCACTTTTGTCTTTAAATTGGTGGAAATCATGTAAGTTTGGTCCAACTTTCCAACCTTTCAGAAAAAGGATGCTTTCAGAATGGGAGTTCTTCTCAAAAGCTGCAATCGATACAAGAAAAAAGAGGTCGACACGACACGTTTTGGGACTCGGGATACGACTCCCTAACCATATTCAATGCCACGCATGGTTTTTTGAGTTACAAGATTCTGGTGGCCATGTTCGGCAAGCTACATTATAGAGACTAGACGGAACCAAAATATATGCATTCATGTATAAAAATAAATTGCTTAAGAGGTTGGATAACACTACATGAATCCTATCACCATACTCCATTAGGGTAATGTTTTCTCATTAGCTTAGCTTTAAGTTAGGCAAATGTATGCTTATGTTGTTAAATTGTTGTAGTCTGACAATGTAATACTATGGGCTCGTCTTTCTATGAGCTCATTCAATGTCTAAAATCAGATTGGATTGCTTAAAAGATCGAATAATACAATATGATGAATCCTATCACGCGCTTCATTAGGGAAATGTTTTCTATTTAACTTTACGTTGTGGGCCAACTATATGCTTATGTTGTTAAATTATTATGGTATAAATACTACTGGCTTGTCTTTCTATGAAAGTGTCTAGGTTTAGATTATATTACTTAAAAGATTGGATAATACTATATGATGAATCCTATCACATGCTCCTTAAGAGTATTAATGTTCTCTATCAGATTTATGTTGTGAAGCAAATGCATCGTTAGCCTATTGTAACTTGATAATGTAAATATTGTGGGCTCGTCTCTGATGACATAGTGCTTATGAGATTAGATTGGATTGAATAACTCATTGTATTTAAGATATGTTTAAGGAAGAAATGAAGATCTTTTGTCCAACTGAAAGTAGATGATGTATTATTAAAAAATAAACTTATTCCTTTATGGCATATACGTTAATTATAGAGGAGTAATTTATGTCCACCTCTTTTCACCTTACGCAGATGCATCTATAGTATGTCTTTTGATGTTTCTTTAATTTGTTCAATAATGGCAAGAAAAAAGAAAAACAAAAACGTGCAAGAAGTAAAAATGGGTATCCGAAAATAATTTACCTACATTCTAATCCTCTCGAAATGAAAAAATCATTTACCACACCCATCACACATACCTTTATTTATATGAGCTATCTAATCCAATTCTATCCTAAGAACCAAACGAGTTTGGTGTCTGACAAAAGAACATTTTCTATCATTATATCCGAAGTCTAAATATAAAAAATTCATCTACGAAAAACGAACATCGAGCAATATCCAATGCAGCACACGCATTGCTAAGAGTAGCTAAGATTTATAGATGTCCATTATTCATTTGATGCAACAAACATGGCGTAAGGGAAGTGTACTCATTTAACATGTGGTTCAAATTTCACATCTTTGTCAAACAACCTTCCTTTTTTTTTCCTCTTTGCCACTGTATATTGGCTGTGTTGTGTATGTCGTTCTGCAAGCACTTGAGACACATATATGTCAAAATCTAAAGCACCAATATGGCATCAAATTCAGGATGGAAGTAAAAGATCCAATCATATTAGACCATAAAACTTACCACACTATATGCAATCAGTGTTGTAGAACCCAACATATATAGGGTGTGTAAGGCACTAGGGAGGGAGATTTGCTGGCTAGGTTTCACTATCAATGTGCACCTTCACTTTCTACTCGAGAAATTTGGTAGGTTTTGAAGTAATACCAAAATTAGCAGAGGGCAAAACAACGTCTGAATTGTTCAAACTGGCTAAATCAAATTAATTTGGCGATTTAGTAAGTTTTTGCACTGAAAAAGTATAATCTTGAGCTGAATCAAAACTAAACTCTCATTTGAAAACTAGTTAAACCGAATCAAACATGACAACGCTCACCTGTTATCAAAAATAATACTTATCAAAAGCATATATGATGGAATAGCAAATAAAGTCCAATCAGTACTTCATTGTGATTTATCAAAAGTATATATTGATGGAATAGCAAATAAAGTCCAATCAGTACTTCATTTTGATTCTTAGAGGAAATTAACTCTTCATGAAAGAACTATGAGATTCCTCAATTTGTAGCACTATTTTACTTTTCTTTCTAAACTAAATTTGTATTTTGCTATTTTTTACAAAGCATTTTCTCCAATTTAGTAAGCAGTTTTTTTGGATGCTTATTTTTTCTTAGCTGGACCACTTCTTATTTGTTGTAGACAAAGAAGACGACGGTTCCTTAACTTTCATTGAAATGGAGCCACTTGTACTACAATCTGGAGGTTTTAAGTGTGATTTGTGTTGAAGGTGAATTCGAATCAAATTATTGTAGTTAACTCATTGTGAGGCTTAATCACTCTCCAACCCTTAGTGTTGGTAATATCGTATATATTAAAAATAATCTTCAATTGAAACGGAAAAGATATAATATATATATATATATATATATATATGTATGTGTGCATTACCAAAGCTGATTTCACTTAAGGACTTGCATATATTTTCTAGCACAATGGCATACACCACAAATTTACAATAATTTCTATTGTAGACAAATTACAATTTGACATATATATATATATATAATTTCTTTTTTCTTTTTGCAATTTTGACGAGTTATATTATTACGTGTCAAATTGTGATTCTCAGATACCGAGTATGCTCTAAATCATTGTTGGTGCCAAATACAATTACTAGTAGATTTGTTGGGATGGCTCACACTTTCTTTCAGCTTAATTAAAATCCTCTACATATGAGCTGCTTGGAATGGCTGTGCATGGAAGCAACCATCTCTTGCTTTCAATGCCACCCTCTAAAACCACAACTTTGCTCTTACATCTCAGTTTAAAGTTATCACAAAAATGTCTTAAGTTCGATTCTCATTCCCTACTTTTTTATTGCTTCGTATACCTAATCTTGACTCTCTATTTTTCCTTTTCAAATGACCCCTTTTTACAAAGACAATAAAATTACAGTTTGGTGGTTGGTTGGAGGGAAAGAATGATGTGCGAAAAGGGGAAAAAAAAAAAAAAACTAAGGAAAATCACTTGAAAATTTTGAATTTTAATCAAAATGACAAAAATATGTTGTAAGTGAATAGTACCAGGAGTACATTTTTGAAGTAAAAATGTCATTTTCGTTAAAAGTGAACAGTACCGAAATTGTTTTGTTAAAACTCCAAAAAATAAAAAAAAATAAAAAAAAAAGGTTTGGTTTTCCCTTATACTGTTCTTTTGAAATTTACTACATTTGAGGATGGTATGTGCTTGCCCCTTTGTTATAAGTAGTAGCCATGGCTGAATTAGCTGACATAACTCCACTGCCTTTGAAACAAACTGCTCTCAGGGTGCCATGTTTAAGTCCCAAACGAAAACTCCAAGCTTTAGTCTCATCCACGAGTTACGAACCATCGAGGTTGGTTTGTATTCTAGTTGGTTAAGACTATTCACCCACGCGCCGGCTATCCTGCGTTTGACTACCCTTTTTGCTTACATCGTTTCATAGAAATGAAACATGAAAAAAGGAGTTAACGACTAAATGAAAGTGTATCAAAGTGATCATATATCTACAAGCATGTAGAACATATTAAATAGACTAATTATTGATAATTACAGTTATTTACAGATTGAACGGGGAATTGCCCCAAAAGATGACTGGAGATTTGAATGTACAACTATCACTGTATACAGAGACTACAGATGATGCAAGTATGCAACTGTCTATTTTAGAAGAGAATTCGTATGCCTTTTAGTTGCTGATATCAAAGTATTTCGGGTCCGAAGGGAAATGATACTCCACATGTAACTGCAAAACGAAAAACAACACGCATAGTTGGTTTCAAATCGGAGCTCAAAACTATTTCATGCCTGGAAACGAAATGAACTGAAATTTTATACTTCTGAGTTTGACGCAAGAACCGATAATCTAGAAGTCGCAAATTTATAAAGACCGAATATAGACAGGCTGAGCATTGGAGTAGGATGGCTTGGTTTGAACCAATTTACGCGTAGTTGAATGCTACGCTATTCCATTTACTTCAGCCAAGCAATATGCAGACATCTATAATGCAAATCAATAAGCATATTGGTAGCCAAATAGATAAGTTGTTGTGTATAACATACCTTGCCCTCATCAGCATCTGTCTGGCGCTGAGGGAACACAACCCTCAAATCATTATACAAGTAGAATCGCCGCTCCCCTTCAATGTCGAAACTGTTTGTCGCTTGTCCAGATAACAGGTCTAACTTGCATCTCTGGACCGACCTCGAGCATTTCTTAGGAAAAAGGCATGAGAAGCGAAGGTGAAGAGCATAACGCAGAACGCCAGCACCAGCGGTATTCTTGCTCACTTTTGAAGGGCTACGCAGAGAATTACTTTCATTAATCTCACTGGTCTTTTCATACCTACAAAGGCTACAACCATCGGATTCACCATGAAAACAGGGCTTTGTGTGTTCTCTCTCTCTTTGGTACTGATTCACTACATCCTTAAACCCGTTTGAATCCACATCGTTGTCACTAAGCTGCAAAGAATTCGCAGCATCTAGGATCGAAGATGGCTTGGCATCATTTTCTTTATCAGGATCAGCATGTCTTCCATTCCCAGCCTTAGAGCTTGGTTCAGAAGAGGCTAGAGTGATCTTTTGGCGCAAAAACGTCTGTATTTTGATTTTGACATGAAGAATTTGCAAGGGAAAATGACCATGTATAAGAACTCAGTCAAAGAAAAACCTAACAACTGAAGAAAGCATATTCCATCTGAAGTTCTACATCATACAGATTGAGCTAGAAAAAAAGTCTTTACTTCTGCTTCATGTATAACATCACATAAGCAAGCAGCACGAATTTTTTTCTTTCAATTCTACGCTAACATGTTCAGCCACAAAATCCGCAGCTCGAGCTATGGAGCTTGGGCCATTTCTATACCAAGGTAAATATAGATGGTAACCACATTCGTCAATAGCCAACCTTAAACTGGTCTTGATTTTGCAACAAATAATGACAGATTTCTGTTATCAGCTTAGCAAGATCGTACCACCTAATGTATACACATAAGGGCTGGGTTACTTAAGGCATACTGGGTTTCGCTATTCCAGGCAAAGGTACACTCAGGACGGACTTATATAGTCGTATTGTCCGGTCTAAGGTTGGGAGAGACCTAAATTGGCCTAAGTCAACAGCTTCAAACCTTTTGCTAACTAAGTTCTAATTTGATTCATGCCCTTCCATTTTTGTGCTTTTCCTACCTCTGTATATTTCCTTTATACAAATTCATGTCGCAGCTCTCATTGTGAGAATGTGAAGGTAAAAGGGTCCCACATTGGTGAAAAAAGAAACCTTGCAAGGGCTTATAAGAGGTTGGGCTATTCCCCATATTGCCAAATTGGTTTTATGGTAGAACCTCAGCTTCTTCATGATATCATAGCAGGGTGTCCCATGTGCGATGCCAAACGGCCACGTGCGCTCCACGTCACTCCGTTGTGACATCCACGTTTTATACTTGAAAATTCGCCACACGTAAGGGGGCGCGTTGAGAAGGAGTCCCACATTGATGGAAGGAGGGACCTTGCATGTGCTTGACAATATGGCGAGTAGACCAACTTCTTATAAGCCCTTACAAGGTTTCTTCTTTCACCAATGTGGGACTCTTTTACCTTCACATTCTCACACTCACATCTGACTACTTCAATGAAGAAGTGTCAAAACAAAAGTTCCTACTTTTTACGACTCTAATGCTTTTAAAGGTCATGCAAGGCTCTCATAAGGACATTATTTATTTATTTTTATTTTTTTTAGTACATAAGGACATTATTTATATCCTATAACTGGTGATACCTGTTGAAAACCTAGCCATATCCAATTTCATATCAAAGTGCAGATTTAACCAAGACAGGTGTAACTTCAAATCATAACGAACAACATTCATCATGCATAAGAATCGTGCTAAGTGACAGATAACTTTTTATCTACTTCATGACTACCTTGGTTCCAGCAGGCATGTCACTCAAATCGTAATTACAGAAGAAGGTGTGAATAGGTGTCTTTTCTGGATTGCTGAGAACCTGCCATAAATCATTCAGTTCATGAGTGTATGACCAACCATCTCTTGGTCCGACTATGACCAGATGTCTTTCAATATGCACAATCACAAGGCACTAATTGACAAACTACTAATCAGTACGAAGATGATCATCAAAGGCTTTGTGGGAGACAATCCAATGTATCATTTTACTATCATGCTTTGTTAGAAATACTTTTCCTTAACAGCTATTCATATCCCACCATCCAAAAAAATGACAGAAATCAATTCTGCTCTCTTTCCTGCCCGTTACATACAATGTCATTCTTTTTTCTCGAAATCATTCCATATTTTAAGCACAAGAAACTAAGAGATCCTAAGCCACATAAACAACGGATAATAACATATCCAGAACATCAATAAAAACTCCTGTTGATTCTAAAAAGTTCCTAAATGCAATGCACTGCTGTGGATAGAACTGAGACCATTCGATGTTCTCTGATACTTCATATTATTTTGATTAATATTAGTTACCAGTTGTATGCGGCCTTTCATAGGTATCCTCAAACGGTTCTTGTCTGCTCGTGAATCATCCATGCTAAGGCTCCTCTTCATCCTGGGGCTTCCATAATTGTTTGGTGTCGTACTCCCAGCAAGACCTATTGATGAATAATATAGTAAATAGTTATCTCCATCCACACTGGTCACTGCAAATGGAAGTTTCTGTGTTTTTGGCGAGAAACTCCCCCCAGTGACATTCAGAACAGCAAGAAAACCATCAATTCTCTGCAAATGGAAAGTTTCAAAAACAAACTAAAGTCAATAAAAAAAACTGACACACTTGGAACTCAATATATATCGAATTACAGTTGAGATGAATGCAAACCTGACCAACCTTTGCAGACAATAATCGACCAGACAACAGGGATTCCTCAAATGAACCAATCAATGACCTTCTAACAGGCAGTCCAGTCAGTGATTGTACTAGTTTAACACATTTAGGCTTCGGTTTCAAGTCCTGATTCCATTGATGCACCATCCCAGGGGTAGAACTCTCAGAACTACAGAGGTCAACCTTTTTCTGCTGAACATGAACATCTTCCGATAAGTCACTTACCAACCTAAAGGCGTCCTCTTTCCAGGATGATGATGATATGCCTGAGATTGTTCCATCAAGTGACTGTTCTATGTCCTTTAGAGTTATACTGTTATCATCTATCTTTGGCGTAGAACCCCTGCATAATTCTTGAGATTTCACTCTTTCAGAAAACCTTGGACCAAGAGGAGAGAGAGAAAGTGTAGGCAACACAACTTTTCTTGAAGATATGTCTATAGCGCCTGATTGTGACCTCACCTTAATTGTTTCTCCAGAGCAATCAAGTCCAGATGGTGATATGAACTGATTCGGAGATCGTGGCTCCTTGCTTTCAAGCAAATGACCATCAAATACAAAAGAGGAGTGTGTATTGCAGTTGTGATCCGGTGAACTCTTCCACTCCGGGGAACAAGATGCAGACCAGATTGTAGAATTAAAATAACTGGAGTTGCCAAGATGAGCTTTCTTATGCTCTTGCGTGGGAACATTTGAACTACCATTGTATCCCCAAGAGCCACTCTTATGAACCCCATCTCCAATGTCTAGAGAATCACCATTAAACTGATCCTTGAGAAGCATTCCATTCAAAGGAGACAATAACCTCTTCCTGTGTGCTGACCCAGCAGCCTCAGTTGTGTCCCCTGTGACAGTCAGTGAACTTGAAGAATATTGGTTTCCATTAAAGAAATTAAGAGAAGAATCCAATATTCTTGGTTCAAAACCAACAACCCTAGGAACAGGTGTCTGAATATTCTGCCCGCTTCTCTGACTTGACCAAAAGTATTGTTCCGTAGAGTTCATCTTCAATGCATGCATGCTTGATCTACTAACATCTTTACGTGCATTGGCAGAATCTGGTCTATTTGGAATCTCTGTGATGGATTTCCTTTGATCTCCAAAAGAAGAGCATGTGAAATCCACCTGCATATGGTTTCCGAGGTTTCCTCCATGCATCCCACTCAAATCACAGGTGCTCATTCCGGCAACTCTAGGTTGAGGTTGCATAAATGTGCACAGAGACGCTGTCACTTCCTCGGCAATGCTGCTAGAAGACACTTGAGGCAATCCCATCTTCAAATATTTCAAGGTGAATGCTTTATTTAGCTTGATTTCTTTTATAATGTGTTTTCTTTTCCTGCTTTCTCAGTGTATTTACGTATAAAAATCAAACTGCATTTCTATATTCCGAGTTACCAATTGGTTCCAAGTTGCCCAACCATTACTGTGCTACCAAAGACTTTACTTGCCTCAGTCCCCCTAACTAAATAAGAAGTTGTAAATTTCTAACAATCTAATTCCAATTCCACACTAATACTAGATGCTACGATACTATCCCTACCAAATGCATTTGCATCTCAACTGTTTCTTCATCAGACATGTGGGAAATCAAGCAGAAATCAGGATCTCCGACGGGGCAGGTAGAAAGCCATGTCTTCTTCACGCCAGTTAACAATGGGAAATAAGCAGCTCAGGGCTTTCCATAAAACCCAATGCAGCGTCCTGGAATTATCAGCTTGGTCAGAAAGTGGCAATTGACAACCAAAAATGAAAAACTAAACATTCATACTCCAGATTCTTTCATCTTTTCCCCTTTGGTCTTACCATTTCCAAAAACAAGCAAATAAAATACAGTGATCCCCCAGCATAATCTTAACCGTTATGACTGATCGAAAACAAAATACAGGGGCATAAAACAGAAACCAATCAAATGACTGAGATTCCAAGAAGTAAAACCTTTGAATTTCTCAACAAAATACTGTCAATGAAGAAATTTCAATGTGGCCAGCTTTGATTCATACAGGATTCCATACCCAATGAGCCAAAGATTCAATGAAGAATCTCCAAAATACATACTCTAAAACTTCACTTAATACTTAACAACACAAAATGTTCAAAACGCCATTTATATAGTAATCTAAACAAATATGTGCTAAAATACATTAGTCAACAACCCAACAAATTCCAGCTACAATTTATACATGGGTCCAATTGGTTGCTCAAGAATTCTAGAAAATCGAACAAGATATATATCCATATATAACTGATTATTTGTATTTTCAGTACATGGAACTTTCTCAAAAGTTTGATTCTTTAACTGTTCAACATAAACAACAAAGATAAAGCTAAAACCTTTCACAAGCTGATCAATCCAAAACAACCATTTCTTTTCAAATTTCAATCCAACTACTAAAATCTCAAGAACCCAAAAAAATTTAGAAAAAAAGCAGCACAACCCAGAATTAAATTTCGTACCTTTTTCTCAGAAAACTAGAAACAGAAAAGCCAAACGCCAAAAGCACTTATTGGGGTTGTTTCAAAAATCAGCAGGCTTCTTCTTCTTTCTTCTTGTGCGAAACTCGTCTGTTTTGGTTGCAATTCTCTGGTTTCCATCTGTTTTCCTTTTTGGCGTAAGAAAATGAATGTTGGGTAGTGATTGAAGATTTGGGGTTGGCCTCCCAAATTTGTTGAATAAATTAACAGAAACAAAAAAGTAATAAAAAAAAATTGTGGGTCATGAATATCGCATTATGCCGAATTTTCTGACCGGTTGGCTGCTGTTCAAAACCACATAAATGTTGGTCCGTTTTCTTTTCTTTCCTGTGTATGTTGGGTGGCAACTTGGCGTGGAATTGTTTGTGGGCAAATCCAAACCCCAAACGCAAAAGCCAAAAGCCAAAAGCCGAAAGCAGAAACCAGGGGCTACCTTTGAACTCAAGTTGCGGCTCTCCTTTTCCCGTCATAATTAGTTTATTATTACATCACATGTCCTGTCTACCTCCACGCCAACTTTGTCTCTGCACAACTTGGTCTCTCTCTGTTGCCCAGTTTTCATTTTTCATATTTATAAATGGAAAAGAAATTGAAAAATGGTTACGTAGGTAAAATGTTTGGTCCATTTTTATTTGTATATGATACAAAACTCATGCACGTCTTCAAATCTTATTACAAATTTCCGAACAGTTGAGAATTGACTTCAGTTATTAGAGAATAATTAATTACCAACAAATTTAAATACTTTCTTGTGAATGGGTCTTCTCGTTTAAGATTTTTGGGACGTAAATTGTCATTTACGCATTGTGAAAGAGGTGTTGTATGCAAATGTATCATATATAGATATCTAATCATATTGTAAGAAACGAGTATCCATATTCCGTACTAAAGAATTTCTTAGATTTCGTTAACTGTATCTGATATTGTCTTGTTGCATAGGATAGCAAGTTGGTTTCGTAACCTCACCACCACCGTGTAATAGCACTAGCAATTAAGTATAGCATCAATAATGGGAGATATGAAAGCAAGAGATATATATGTTTGGAGGCCCTTATGACTTGTACATCGTCCAAAACTTCCTTTCTGCTCCAACTACGTATTTTATATTCTGAAATCTCATGTTACTCTTACCAATCCTTTTGAAATTTAGGTGTAAGGATGAAAAGTAATCAATCTAATTAAAGAGATGTGAGCACATAGAATCAACTTTTTTTTTTTTTTTTGTTATTAGATTATTGATAATTTGTTATGATCCTCGCGCATAAGTAAGGGTCAAATATCATAGTTGTTTTCGGTTGTATTTTTTTTTTTTAATCTAATATATGTGTGAATGTGAAGTGACCAAAAAGATATATATATATATATATATAAGCTTGCGTGACGAGAAAGATAAATACAAAAAGATAAACGCCAGACTACAACAAAATTTCTCTCTCGCCATAAAACAATACAAAAGATAAGTAACCAATTAGTTATTTGTTCTCAACCGTTGTGGTTGAAGACACTCTTATTATCAAAAAAAACTTTCATAATACGAGTACACTGTTATTATTGCGACGCATATTTATTGATATTAATTTGATGCCGCTCAAGTAATTTCCTCCCAGTTTGCCACTTGCGTGGTTGCCTAAAATTCTCTGTCAATGCTTTGCATTCGTCACCAAAGCAAAGCATTTCATCCTTCTAATCTTCACACGCTTTGCCAAAAAACATGAAGACTAACTGACCATATATATAAATCCCCACAAACTCTCCCACAAAGCCATGTCAAACGTAAATCACGTAATTAAGAGGAGGTAATTAATTAAACCCGATCCAACATTTTTTTGAATCTTTCTAATCCCATAAGCGGTATAACATTCTTCAATTATCTAGAAGACTAGAACGTTGAAATCTGGTACTCTCTCGTAGATTGTAGAATGTGCTACGTAGCCCTCGTGACCAGAATCTGTGAAAAAAAACCCTAAAAACCAAATGCCACCGCAGAAATCAGACGTACTGTTGATTCATTGCAGCGTTGTGGTGAGTGAGGAAGCCACGTCCATTTCTCGTACACTACTTACCACAATATGTGTGGAGCAAGGGAAACCCCGTTTTGACTGGGAAACCCTAATGAGGACGTACGTGGTACCAAATTTTGCACCATTCAGCTTCCTCCGCTTAGCACCTAGGGCCTCAAGGTCACTCCACTATATAATCCCACTCCAAGGCATGCTTTACAGCCTTCTTAAAAGTGCATCAGTTGATTAACTATTTGCCTTCTTAAAAGTGGGAAACTCTAACAGTCCAAATAAAACGCACACTTTACAGCCTTCTTAAAAGTTCTTCAGTTGATTAACTATTTGCCTGCTTAATCTTGTTTAATTAAGAAACGTACAATGGCTGCAACAATTTCCATGCAATCAATCTTTACAAGTTCTGTAGCTTATGGAATTGGTAAGAGCAGAGTGAACCAGCTGATTGTTCCTGCTAACTATGCACCAATTAATCTGCGTAAGCATGCTCACATGAGAGTAATCGCAATGGCCAAGATAAATTTCCTATATAAGTCTTTAATTAATCTAGCATTATACATGCATTAGGGTTAGGGTTTTAATCACATATGGGTTAATTGCAGGATGAACAGAAGGAGCAACCAACCACTGTTACAGATGCATCAGAAAATTCAGAGCCAGCTCCTTCATCACCTTTACCTCCTCCTCCTCCTAAGGTAATTAACTACTCCTTATGCCGGGAAGCTTTCTTTTGTCAAACTTACATTGTGCAACTCTCAAATTTAACCACACATTTAGAGCTAATTAGAGTTGAAATTCAGAGTCTCGCAACATAAACATTTTAATTATGTGTTACAAAACAATTCGATGAGAGAACATATGACAAGCGGAGCTATATATATCTCAAACACATCGTGCACAACATAAAAGAAAATATAAAAATTATAGCTCCACCACTCATTTTTATAAAATTCTAACTTCACCGCTCATTCTTATAAAATTTCAAAACTATAAGCTCATGAAGATACATAGATTCTCAAGGGATGCACGACAATAGATTCTCATGGGATGCACGACAAGCATGTGACGTGTAAATATTTCTTTGTGTGTGCAGGTCAGCCCGAAGTTTTCAGACGTGCTTGCATTTAGTGGGCCAGCACCGGAGAGAATCAACGGCAGGCTAGCAATGGTGGGATTCGTTGCAGCTCTAGCAGCGGAGCTATCCAAGGGCCAAAATGTGTTTGCTCAGATATCCAAAGGTTCAGGGATCCCATTGTTCCTCGGCACCAGCATTTTGCTGTCGGTGGCATCCTTGGTTCCTCTATTCAAAGGGGTGAGTGTGGAGTCCAAATCAGAGGGGCTCATGACTTCAGATGCTGAGTTGTGGAATGGAAGGCCGGCAATGTTAGGACTAGTAGCCTTGGCCTTCACTTAGTATGTGAAGGGTGGGACCCTAGTGTAGACTAATATCTCAAAAGAAAAGAGTGGGTCCATTTTCAATCTACGTAATATTAAGTGATATGAGTATGCTATTAGATGATTTGCAGTCTTGTACAAATTAAAATCATAATGTAAATCAATTTAAGTTATCTAATGCTCGTCATATATTGTAATTACAATTTATAAAATAATGTAAATATATAAAATGACTATCGCTAGTGAGATTAAATTTTTAAATCAAATAAGATGTCATCAATAAGAGATAAGCATGTTAACCGACAATTAATAATTCAATCATCTATAATCACATAACCCACAATATATAAATGTATGTATATTTGCCTTTTCTTTCATAGTATTTTTCTGAGGTGAACTATGGTTTTGAATGCAAGTACACTTTTTTGCATGTGGTCCAATATCCTAGTAAATAGGGTGTTGGGTTTTTACCCATGCGTTCCGAGTTCAAAACTCTTCATTTCTTAAATTATTGTAATACTTTCTAACTCTCCCCACTCTTCCTAATAATAATAAATTAAAATAATAATAATAATAATAATAATAAAAGAATGCAATGATAATTGTACAATACTTCCTTAAATATTTAACATTTAACCTTGAATAGTAGAATAATTAATTTAAACTTGTAAGCTGCCTACCAAAGTAAATATTAACCATCAATAATAAATAAAAACGCCAATCAACACTGAAGTAATAATTCGATCATCAATAATTACGTCATATGATCCACTACATATGATTTAAATAAATAGTCTCTCTAACACCATATTTTATTCCTTATTAGAATGTTAAGGTCTACGTTTGACCAACAAAAAGGAGTGTTAAATTCTACTATTACTTTTAAGATCCAACTCCAAGAACCTAAATATGTTAACTAGTCAAATTGAAATTAAATGAATTAAATCAAAAGTTGTGCTAGTATCAATTGTAAATGAGCACATAATAATATATTGACTATTGATATGCATGGGACGCTTGTGAGTGTGATGTTATGTCAACTATTGATGGTTTGTCCATGACTTGCGTAGGACCCAAACAATCGATCGCTAAAACTACATGACACACTCACGAAGTGGTGCTAACATCTTCCATCAACGAGATTAAATATTAGCAATTGTGATTGTGTAAATAAAAGTTGTTTTTCTTAAACCACGATTTTATACTTCAATCAAAATTAAGGGGCGTACATTCATTTGGAATTTTCACAGAAGACATGATTTGTTTAACACATTATGAAATTCTCTCAAAACCATCAAAATTCTTTACTTTATAAAATTCTTTAAAAGAGAAATTTTAAAATGTTATAAGAACTCATATACTTTTATCAATTTGTCATATAAACTAAAATTTTAAATAATTTGTTATATAAACTTTCTGAATTCATTAATTTGTCATATGCCCTTAACTTCGTAAGGGTTTACATTCAAAATAAAGCGTGTACTTTGCACATGACTTGTGTTTAAAAATATTTAGGACTTTCAACTCTCCACTCTCCTTCTAAAAAGTTTTCTTTGCGGAAACAAAAATTTAGAGTTTCTATAAACTAAAAAACAAGAATGTTTAGGCAATGAAATAATATTTTTTTATTCTAAAACAAAAACCAAACTTAGTATAACGACATGGCATAATTATGATCGAGTTTCTCTTCAACAGTATAGTCCTCAAAATATATACCACATGTTCTTGTAGTATAATTGTCCTCTAAAACAATGGTAAATATCAACTTACATTATTTTTACTAAGTTATTCCTTATGGCAAACAATAAAATGAAAATGAGATCAAATGTTTGAAATAATCCTAAACACAAGTGAAGTGTTTTGGATGAAAAACTTAATGGTATTAAGATGAGATAATAAATTACTGATTTTAGAAGGTTGATATGACAAATTGAAAAATTTGCATAGGTTCATATGATATTTCACAAAATTAATTTTATACACCGTAGAAATATATATGAAAATAAAATTTGATGGCTTGATATGATATTTTTCGAATGTCAATAATAATTTTTATATAGTAAATATTTTGTTTTAAGAGAGAAAAAAAAGCACCTTTCACTGGTTAGTTGATGGTGAAATTTGATTTACCCTTTCTCTCTCTGGTAAGTGCAAGTAACTATCGTTACGCATAAAAAAAATAAGTGCAAGTAAAGCATAATTCGAGAAAGCGATAGAGAGCGAGATAAAGGCGAGAGCTTTATTCGCCATACCGCTATCTCCCACTCTCCCCGAGTTCTTCGCTAATTCTCTCCGAGCAATTAAAGATGGTAGACTTCGCTAGGGTTCAGAAGGAGCTTCTGGAATGCAGCAGAGACATCGAGCGCTCCGGCATCAAAGTCATCCCCAAAAACGAAGCCACTCTTGCCCGTTTAATCGGAACAATTCCCGGCCCAGTTGGTACTCCTTATGAGGGCGGCACTTTCCAGATCGACATCGCATTGCCAGGTTCAATTCTCAATTGCCCTTTTCACTGTTTGCTGCTGTTTTGTATTTGTACTCTTAATTTTGATGTTTTTTTTTCTGTTTGTTTCTCGAGAAAAAGCCCAGAAAGTGAATTGGGTTGTGCCAAAATTGAAACTTTTCTATGAAAAAGGTTATGGCAGTGAATATATTGTTGGGTTTAAGTGGGTTTGAATGAAGAAATTTGCTGCTAAAGAAAAAAATTAAAAAGATGTTAATTTGTAATATATGGGTTGTTTAATTTGGAGGGAAGTAAGCGTGTGAGTATTAATTTGTTGAAATTACACTTCCTTTTCTTGTTCTTGTGGGTTCGGACCCTGTGCTGTTAGATAATTTGGTTTGGGTAGCTTTTGATTGCATTAATATGCAAAAATAAATAGTTTAGCTAATAGCTGGTTGCTTGTAAACATGGGTTTCGATTCGTAACGAATGAGAAAGGAATATGCTAAAATTACTACTAACACGGCTGTCAACTGTCGGATTTCTTCGTGCAGATGCGTACCCTTTTGAGCCTCCCAAAATGCAGTTTACGACCAAAGTTTGGTAGGGCGAATTTATGTTCACATCTCTTCCTCTAGTTTATTTTCTTTCTATTGTGGTTGTTCAATCACCACACAGTGCACACACTGAGTACTATGAGATGTCCTACATAGCCGTTTAGGTCATATTGCATATACGAGTATGCATTCGGAAAATAGACTTTAAATTTCCCGGTTTGATAAGACTGGAAATAGAAGCCATTAAGAATAAAGCATGAACGAAGAAGGTATACTGAAGCCCAGCTTCTGATTCGGAATTAGAACTCCTTTTAGGTCTCTATGTAGTCAACCCAATTTAAACTGCAAGTTGGGGACTTTGATCGAACTTTCTTTGATTTGGCTTGGATGTCAATGTTCGGTTCTTAGTATATTCCGTTTACTGACTTTTATAACATTAAGTAAAAGCAGTTTGTAAAGTAGAACAAAACAACCAGGTGCCACTGTGTAAGATTCCGGGACTGATGAATTGGTATACTCAGAAAAACGATATGCGTAGGAATCATTAATGATTTTCTTTTGTGTATATATGTCATATGTTGAAGGCACCCTAATATTAGCAGTCAAAGTGGAGCAATTTGTCTGGATATTTTGAAAGACCAATGGAGCCCAGCTCTTACACTGAAGACAGCACTTCTTTCTGTACAAGCTTTGCTTTCTGCCCCTCAGCCGGATGATCCTCAAGATGCTGTGGTGGCACAACAGGTCTAAACTAGCATTTTTCCTTTAACCAAATATGTGTTTGTGGATTGATGGTAGATGACGTTTAGTGAATGTGTAGTACTCAAAGAGTACCGGACTCGCAATGGATTGCTGCTAATCTTGCCCTAGTGATGCCTCTTGTGTATTTATTTATGAAATTCTTCTCTCTTTTTAAAGTAGTATGTCTATGTTGATACTGCAGTATCTGAAAGACTATCAGACCTTTGTTGGCACCGCTCGGTACTGGACAGAAACATTTGCCAAGAAATCATCTCTGGCGATTGGTGAAAAGGTCAGTCTGATTCTGCCTTCTCTTTGATGGAAAGAAAACAGATAAATTTTGAAACATAATTCACCATAAAATAAAAAAGAGTACTCCTTTGAAATCAAACTCAACAGTCTGGCAAACTCTTAGTTTATTATCTTATTAATAACTCACAACGAAGAAATTATCCGGAAATCTGGAGATCTGTTAAGCTGGTGGATTTTACATTACAGGTACAGAAGCTTGTTGAGATGGGCTTCCCTGAAGCTCAGGCAAGGAGTACTCTGGAAGCTGTTGGTGGGGATGAGAACTTGGCCCTCGAAAAGCTTTGCTCCGGTTAGCTAGAATTAATAACTTTGCTCTGGTTAGCAGAAAAACAACAGCTGCCAGCAGAGATATAATCTTTTAAGTATATAATGCTACCCACCCTAAGATGCCGGAAAGTATACTGACATCAAGGATTAACTGGATATAAGGTTTTCTTTGTTTAGTTTAGAGTTATTCTAATGCTTGGCTGACTTTGTCTCTCTACTCCTATTGACCAAGTGTGTTAAAATGTGGAACTTGGGTAAATTTTATTTCAGCACCGTTGTTCTTTCACCAAAATCAGCCTCGCAGAAAATGTCGGGGGCCGTGGGTTGGATTTGGGCATGCATGTTTGTTTCCCGGGAAGGAATGTGCTTCTGTTTGGTGTTATGTTTATTACCAATGTTGTATTCTTGAAATATTGTTCTAATACTCACTCAAAAATTCCAAAGTTTTGCAATGTTTGCGATGAAACGGGGTGTCCGATGATTGACGAATTGGGGTTTTGATCAGATCTTTAGACACGATTATGGTGTCTTTATGTTAATGCATTTTCGGTGTTTTCATTGCGACTGAATTCTGCAATACAAGCGATAGTAATGGAGGGGGATTCGTTGTGACCTTCGATGCAGGGGTAATTGTTCTTAATCACTCGAGTACAAGCTCCTAGGGGTTCATTGTGGGTAGCTATTTAGTTCCTGCATCTTT